AAAAAAAAAAAAAAAAAAAAAAAAAAGAATTCCCATTATTCCAGGAGCCACATTCCTGCTTCCCTGGGAATTCCATTTCCCATGGAACTGAGGTGGATTTTTCCTTAGGAAAAGTGGGATTGGCTCCGTACCAGGCTCCTCCTCGTCCTCCTCGTCGTCCACCTCGCCGTCGTTGTAGCCTTCCTCATCCTCCTGGAATTCCGGGAAAAACCGGGATGAAAACTTGGGATGGGCCCAGGAGCTTTCCCAAGATCCCGTTTTCCAAGGAGGGAAAAGTCCTTGGGATGTCCTCAGCAAGGAGCCACTTCCCAGCATTCCCGTTTTTTTAATGGAACAGCAGGAGCTGGCACTGAAATCCCAGGGAATCAATCCCAGGGAGTTGGGAATGTGGGAATGTGCCATTCCCAAATTTAGGAAAACTGGATTGGGATTTATGGGGGTGGAAAAAGTTGGATTGATCCAGAGCCTCTGAGTGGGATTGAGGAGCCTCAGGAACATTCCAGAGGGGCAGAAGAGGATTTAGGGCTGGAGGAATGGGAAAACAAATTCCCAGAATCCCATTTCCCCTTCTCCAATCCCACTTCCCCCATATAATCCCAGTTTTCCTTCCATGATCCTGTTTTCCTTCCTCCCATCCCACTTTCCCTTTTCCCATCCCTTTTTTCCCCCTCAAATCCCATTTTCCTCCCTCAATCCCATTTTTTCCATCCCACTTTCCCTTTTCCCATCCCTTTTTTCCCCCTCAAATCCCATTTTCCTCCCTCAATCCCATTTTTTCCTCCAATCCCATTTTCCCCCCATTATCCGATTTTTCCTCCAATCCCATTATTCCTTCCAATCCCATTTCCCCCCTTCAATCCCATTTCCCCATCCCAGACTTCATCTGCTCCAGCACAAAACCAATCCTGGAATTCCTCAAATCCCGGATTCCCTGCCCAGCCCTTCCCAGCCGGATCCCGGAGATTCCCGAGGCAGAATTCCAAGGCTCACCTCCTCCTCTCCGCTCACATCCTCCTCCTCCCCTTCCTCCTCCTCCTCCTCATCCTCTTCATCCTCCACTACCTGAGCGTCGTCGTCGTATTCCTCCTCTGGAAAAACAAAAAAATCCATGGAAAAAGTAGAGGGTTTTCTTTTAATAATTCCACCCCAAATCTGGGAATCTGAGGAGGAGAATTCCTTTGGGATAGCAGTGGATTTGGGAGCTGGGGAATCCCAGCTTTTCCAGGAACGGATGGAACAGAACTTTCCCATCATCCCATGGACACAAAATTCCAACCTTTGGGGTGATTCCCAAAAGGAAAGCCCCCAAATCCAACCATTCCCAGGAAGTGCTGAGCCCCTGGAGTGTTTTCCATGTGTTTGGGAGCTTTTGGGAACCTTCCCAGAGTTCCCACTCAGCATTCCTGGGAAAAGTGCACATCCAGCTTTTCTGCTTCTGCTGTGCTGCTGGGATGGGAGAATCCAGCAAATTCCCTGGGATCAGCCGGATCCTCATCCTGGGATGGCTCCGGGGGCAGCCAGGGAAAGGTGGTGCCTGCAGCACTGGCATTCCCTGCAATTCCCTGCAATTCCAGGCTGTTCCTTCCTCAGAGCTCCCTGGTGCTTCCTCATGGAGCAGCTCCCTAATTCCTGCTTTTTTTTCCCCATGCCCGTGGAAACCCTCTTCCATGAGGATTTCCACAATCCCAGCACATTCCCTCTTATCCACGCTCATCCCTGCTCCCGCAATTCCCTCCGTCCCTTCCCTCGGTTCCTCCCTGATCCCACCCCCTCCATTCCCAGGAGGAGGAATGGGATTTTCCAGGCCCTGCCACCTCCTCCCCTCATTCCCTCAGGAATTTCCATGGAGCACATCCCACGTACCGTCCTCATCCTCCTCCTCGTCATCCAGCCCCTCCACGTATCCCTCGGCG